AATGGAGGGGTGACCATTTACTCAATCCTACAAAATCCTCCAACAATTATTGTAATACACTGAGGCAGTACGGATGATATCCAGAAGCAGTCACAGTGCGGATGGCATGATTGGCATCCAGTATACGTTGGGCCTCAGTTATGCTTGGCTGAGCATAAACAACCCATGGTACAGCCTACGACCTCAATACAATGCATCCTCCAAAATCAACTGACACTTTCTTGCCATTCAGTCTCAATCCTCCGAAATCTGCTAAAACCCGGTTGATTTTGGAGGATGGAGGGTTGGGTCAATACTGGTTGATGACAGTCGAGATAATTTTGAACACGCCTTTCTGCATTGCAATGCCCCAGAAATTGTATTCGGAGCTAGTGGATATTTATATTATCAAGGTCTCTTCCAAGCTGCACACTATCTTGCGGAAAGTGACGTACATGTAATTCACTCAAGCCTTTTCACCTTGAAAGATGTGGATCAATAGGATAAATTTCCTTCCCTGGTTGTGACTTTGACTTATTGGAGATTCTGTAGAAATGAGCAGATAGAACACATCTGCATGTCGTGAACAAGTAGAAAGAAACATGGGGAACTTTACAGGGCCTCAACCTGAGTCTGGCTGTCGATTTAAAAAAAAAATTGGGTTTTTGTGGGGTGTTTGTGTTTTAGATCTGAAATAACATTAACTGTCTCAATCCTTCAAAATCCTCCAACAGTCACTGCCAATGACATTCAGAAGCAATGCGGATGATATCAAGCATTATACAGGGCTCAATTGTGCATGGCTAAACATAAACAATGCTGGGTACAGCCTACGAACTTGACACAAAAATGCATTCTCCAAAATCAACTGACACTTTTTGCCATTCAGCCTCAATCCTCCACAACCGCCTGGAGGATTTTGAAGGCTTGAGGGTTAGGGTTAAGACCTCTGGAATAGACCATTTGCACTGCAGCAATCTTTGAGGTGTGTGCTTTTGTACAACAGGGATATGCATGAGTAGACCTTGTACATTCATTGTTAATGAATTTAACATAACAAAACGTACCTCAAATATGGCCACTGAATGCAGTTAATCTATAGGAGGCCATGAGTTTGAATCCCAACTGAGTAAGCTTGTGAGTTTTTTGTTTCCACCATATTTGTCAAAAGGTACTGAGCAAACAGTACTTGCATGAATTTTGTTGATGAAAACTATGGTGAAAGCAGAGTCCAATATTACAATATCCCCAAGTAATTAGATTTGTCACGGGAACCAGGACCTCCCAAGCTCTCCTGAGAGCCAGGCACCTTGCCTATCAAATAGTGATGAAGGACTGCATTTGTGAAGGGCTCAGCTGCAGTTTCAGACAGGGGAAAAGGGTATCGGGGTTCATGAATGACATGAGATGACACTTCAGTAAAGGTCCCTCTAGCTCATCATTGCAGGTCAGGCAGGGATGGGCATCAGGCCCACCATCCCTGACTACAGGATAATAAGATCAAGATGACTAAGTCAAGGTTTTTTTTTTCCTTCCTGCAAACTGTACCCATTTTCTTTTAAGTATGTACCGTACATAATCTAAAACAAGAATTTGTTTGCAAAATCTGGTCAAATGTCCACCTTTATATGCCCTTGAACAACCCGCTAAGTTTCAGTGCCTGTTCACCAACCTCAAAACCCTTGGAAGTTGAATAAAACCCTAACCCAATATTTTTGCCAGTCCCTTAGATTCTTACATCACAATTGGTACATGTATAATCCCAACCAAATCCATCATCAAGAAGGTAGTTTTTTTATTGCTCTGTCAGATTTTTTTTCCTACATTGTATGCTGCTTGAATCAACATTCTCAATACTTAAGTTAAGCTATGAAATTATAGATAATGTAAAAAATACATAAAGGCACACTGCATGGTACAATGGTTAGCAATGTTGGGCAAAATTGTTGCCCAAAAAAATTCACAATTTTTTTTTTTTTTCCTACATTGTATGCTGCTTGAATCAACATTCTCAATAGTTAAGTTAAGCCTATGAAATTATAGATAATGTAAAAAATACATAAAGGCACACTGCATGGTACAATGGTTAGCAATGTTGGGCAAAATTGTTGCCCAAAAAAAATTCACAAAATTGTGCAAGTCTGCCATACAAGAGAAAATTAAAGTCCTGCATGATCGAACACATACAGTACAAGAATCTAAATTCAGGTAGGCTTGGAAACTCTCTCATGGATCACTGCTTTCTGGAATGTAAAAAACTATTACTGCACCCCTGGAAAACTTACAAGGTCACATTTTCCCTGGTTTCCTGTTTTAGCTGCAATTCCAATTAGGGCTGAGCATTGACAGGTAGTACCGGAATGGGATTGAAACAAACACGGGTACCAGACTACCCGTTAAAGAAACCCAACCCCAAAATTCAAATCTGGAAGTTGCTGTTCAGATTGCTTATAAAGAGCGGCACGATAATTCTACTACATGAGCATCGGTGAGTCAATACAGCAAGATACAAAGTCAAGAGTGTACAGTGAGCTCTATACTTTACGGTGTAAACTGCCTTTTCGAAGCATCATAAATGTGAATCAGTTTTGTTTTTGCCATGTAGCCTGGTTTTCATTTGAAAATTCTCCACAAATGATATTTAAGACCTTTTCTTTTCCATTGTCTGAGAAGTTACCAAGTAATTTGTAAAGTTGCTTACGAGTACTCGATTCCATAATCTGGAACCTTCAAAATAACTTTTCCCCAGTTAAAAAAATCTGAGAGAACTCATACATGTACGTTGGTTTGTGTTTCTAGAGCCACAGTACATTTTATTACTCAATAGCCAGAACTTTAATCATCTCCACAAAAAGTTAAATTTCTACCATGCAACTTTTGGTCAGTCCTCCTTTATTCCAATAGCACTAGCCCAGAATTGATTTCAAAATAGCCAAATAAAATAAGGTGTTAGGAGGTGTGATGTGTTCAGTTCTATTCGGTAGGACAAAGCAAGTGCTCCAAGGAGGAATTTGGATGACTCCTTGACAATGTGGTTAATCCCTCTCTTTGTGGATTACAAGCTGTTGATGAGGGCACATTTCTCAACCCCCCCCCCTCCCTTATTGGTACATGCAGTGATGGAACAATATGCCACAAGATCAATATCCCAAGGTCTTGTTGGAACATAGCGCCTAGGGTATCTTCATATGCAGTGTTTGGTATACAATGTAGGTCTATTCAAAGTCAGCAGTTAACAGGTAGGCTACCACATTCATCAGCCTATGTTGTTGTTTGTTACTAAGGATTCACCACATGTGGCATAATGAGGACACTTGGTAATACTGGCCAGTCAACTACACCCAACAATGGAGGACACACATGTAATGCCTGCTGTGCCTGGGAACAAAACTGTCATTACACTTTACATTCAGGTTTACATAAAACCAGACGTTTTAACACTCAATCTCAAAACAAGTTCATCACAGAGGCAAGTAAATGAATGTTCTGACAAAAATTGTCTGGCATGCAAAGACGTAATCGTGTCACCATAGCAACCGGAGAAACAGACTTTAATTCAATACACATGTAAGAATCAAATGAAAAGAAGCTGACACGGTTAAAAAGAATGATTTTTTGATTATCTTGAATTTGAAATAAATGCAGCACAATTAGAGCTCACCATAAACAATGTCTCAATTATGTCATTGGATTTCAAGTATCAGAATAAAAAGCAGTCTTGAAGGTATCAAAAATAATTTCATTCTTTATGTTTGATGAGCATGCTACTTTTTGGGATAAGTATGCAATTCATAAACTTGAAGATGAGTTTGCCAATGTGGCTTAATTAGAAAAATGGTTTTAAAAAGTGTATTCACCAAAAATTCTGAATTATCTATTTGGAAAGAGTTACATACCTGGACATCACTTGTCAGACCTGTGCACAAACCCTATGGGACAGGTCTGACAAATTCCCAAGTGTTTTCTCAGTAAATGATCAATTTTTCCTGCAAAATATGACTTTTTAGGACATGTTATTGCTTTCTGATGGCTGATCACTACAGGGAAAAATTAGTTATGTCCATGTTTGGAATTCTTCCCATAAATGTCGTTATCGATGGGGACACTTTCAAACCATTTTTCATCACTAGAATATGCTTTGCTTAAATACTCAAAGTAAAATTCAAAATGCGACCTAATAATTTATATATCCGGATATAGGAAAAATCTGGAACTAGGAAAACGACTGTACAGTGTAACACAGCATCATTCTGCATTATGTTGTTTACCGCCATTCAAAATGCACAGCCACATGACAGCACAATGTGCATCTTGTCCTTGCCCCATGATTTAACAAATTTGGATGATAAATAAATAAATGAAATGTTCTTCTCATCGTAGAAGTCTGCACTTCACAGAAGGAAGGAAGGAAAGAGGGCAGAGGTGCACACTTCCCATTGCTGTTCCGTCCAACCCTTTTTTTAGTACTGGGTCTTCGCATTGGATCGGGCCTATGTGCATAACAAATGTTCATCATCGGTCACCCAAAATATTTCTTTTCCATTTTCATTCAATAAGATGAAAATAAAACTTAAAGTCATGATTATGCTTTAGGATCAATCATCCATACCATGTTTGTTACATAGGGAGTATCATAATCAGAAATGTCATTGAAGTTCTCAGTAGGTATACATGTATTTATGTGCATATTCACATGCCAGGCAGTGTATACTGGAAATATGGGCCAAGCCCACAGCATCATAAAATTACCGTCCGTCGTAGCCGTGGCAAAATAAAAAATGTTTCCGATAATATTAATTTTTCCTGGGACACAAGAACGTCACCATTGTAATGTAAACAAATAATCACTGTCAAAGATTAGAATTAAATAACACGGTGTGTAAAGAATCAATACTTCAGGAACCTGGCGTTATTATAAACATCGCCAACAAGCCACTTTTATATAAATGTCAAATGTTTGGCCATAAAACATGGCGGCGGTACAGTTATAATTCAGGTGACAATCCCTCTTAAATACTTACTTTTTACGATCCTCTCAGTAGTTGAGAGCTTCCCATCTATAGTAGCCATAGTTGAAAGGCTACTTATCCCGCCAACTGCCTTTTGGGGGTTCGATGCTATTCCAAAATATAGGATTCCAGTGGATTTCTTGCACAGTTCATCCAGGTAGCGCTTCTCCCTTTTCAGACTGCAGCGTAAACATTTACCATTTTTGCTAATTTGCATACTACTGCTGCGCAAAAAAGAAGGCTAACACGAGAGGGCGCTTTTCAACTAGACCGCTTTCAACAAATTGCTCTCACTGTGTTCGCAATTCGATGACCGACTCCCGTTTCCATAAAGTCAGTCAAAACCAGTGTTGGAGCAAAGGCTTTGACCCTCAAGGCCAAGGCCAAGGCCAAGGCTTTGACCCTCAAGGCCAAGGCCAAGGCTTTGACCCTCAAGCCTCGAGGCCAAGGCCAAGGCTTAACCCTCAAGGCCAAGGCCAAGGCCCCGTTTTATGAAATGACCACTGATATAGAACTAATTATAGTCACATGAGTGACACATCATCACGCAAGGGCGGATCCAGAACACAATTTTTTTGGGGGGGGCGCCAAAGAAATTTTGGTCCCCCCAAAAAGTGGGTCAAAAAATTACGGCTTGGGCTTCGGGGCCCGCTTAAGGGCCCCGAAAAATTTTGGATTCGACATGCTCTGTGGTGCGATTTGAGGCAATTTCTGACCATTTTAACCGATGTTTTTTGAGGAAAAGATGGTGGTGTACTCATTGCCTGCCTTTATTACGACGTCGCATAAAAAAATGGTTTCGGTGGGTTTTTTTTGGGGGGGGGGGGGGGGGCATGGCCCCTTTTGGCCCCCCTGGATCGGCCCTTATCATCACGAATTGCTCGTTACGAAGAACAACATTTCTTTAATTACAATCAACATGCTCGCATAGGCCTACACCGTTTTATGACTGCACTGTATCTATTTAAGTATAAGTTCAGGTCTTCAATTTGGTTTAACTAAACAAAATAATGATTTACTTCTATATTGACACACAGTTCTCCCAAGTGTAACAAAAGGGGGATCCAAGAAACTGATTTGGGAAATTTTTATTTGCTGGCTCAACATGGTCAGAAATATCAGCATTATCTAAAACATTTTAGATAGGCATTTGATGGAGGGGGCACTTAGGTGGATACGGATCGCCGTCCTGGGGGAAAATTTTCGCATACGGAGGATGGGCTAGATGCAAAATGGTGCCACATTTGATGCTAAATTCGATCTGAAGAAATCTCAAGAAATTGCTATTTTTGAGGTAATGATTTTAACAACGCGCAGAATTTTGCAGAGGATAGGGGGCACCAGCATTTGATGGGGGGGGGGGGGGGCACTCGGGGGGCACTAGGTTTTCCAGGGGGGCACGTGCCCCCCTGCCCCCCCCCCCCCTCCTTGGCGACGCCACTGCATGCAAATCTTTAGCACTTATCAGGGAGACATATACAACCAATCAGATCTATTCCATAGTTATGTGCAATTTAAGTGATCATCTCATTAGCCCCACAAGTGTACGGAATAGTTTTGCAGCAAATCTACTACAATGGTAACAAAATGTGATGCTACAAAAGTGGAAGTGTGCCCAACACACAAATCTATAGGGTGCTTCCCTCCTCCATGGTAATACGATTAAAATGATAACAGCAAAATTTCGAACAGATGTATCAGGAAAATGCAAAAATCTATGGGCCTTGAAGAGCCTTGACTCAAAATTGCAAGGCCCTGAACCCTCAAGGCCAAGGCCAAGGCCAAGGCTTTTGACCTCAAGCCTCGAGGCCAAGGCCAAGGCCCTAAAATCCAGCCTTAAGGCAGCCTTAAGGCCAAGGCCCAGCATCAAGGCACTACATCACTGGTCAAAACAAAACAAAATTAAGAATTAATATTTCCAAGCAAAGAAATTTCCCACCCTTACTCATGAAACATGAGACAGATCCTGATGTACAGATAAATGAACGCATAAATGAACATGTTCCGTTTTCCTGTTTTTGGTGTCTTGGAATTTCAATCAAGATGGGATATTGCAGTATAGGCCAAGTTCGGGCAAGGACCATTAGTCGACTAGTGGTTGATTTGTGACGTACCTTTCGCCTGCGCACTGGTAGCAACGTGCGAACGTCTCTAGTCAAACGCTGGTCAAAATGTCATCGCAAAACTTCTGGATCCTGGCTCTCTGCTAGCGTTATGAATGCGCGCGGCTATTGGTTACCAGCGAAGCAAACAGCCCCAGTAGGCTGGTTCCAAATAGTCGACTAGCGTAGTCAACCATCGTCGACTAGACAGAGTTCGGGCAAACGTTAGTTAACCATTGGTCAACTATAGTCCTTGCGCGAACTTGGCCCTAGTAACAAACACATTTTCAGCAAAAACTTCATTTTAGCGAAATCCTGTTGGAAAAAGTTACATTTGATGAGTATAGCGGGTTGCTTAAAATAAGCTTGGAAATGCTATTTAAATATTTTCTACTCGCTCTTTCCTTAATTTCCCCAACGAACTTTATTACGTTAAATCGTAACTGTTACTAAAACTGAAAGAGCAGGCCTACATTGTTTTTGGAAGGATCATGATTATTAATCTATTTAATATGCATGTATGCAGGCCCCGTCTCCTCAATGTCACCGCCATTGCCTTTTATTGTGACAAGTTTAAATGGCTCATATTTTTCTTAATGTAATCCTTGAATATTGTGCCCCATTTAACTTCATTTTCAAATTTCATTTTGCCATTTCAAGAGTATTTTTTCCTATTTGTTTTCATGCTAATGCATTTCCTTATTCATGAGCAAAAGTGTGATGTAATTTTAGGCAGAGACCTCCGTGTTTCAGCTATTTCAGCACTAAAAAGTGCCAGAATTCTGGATATTTGGGTGATACAGTTCATTTTGATATTGGTAATTCATTGTTGTTTCGGTACATGACAGTAAGTCGCGTCGATGAGCAAACCTTTCTCACAAAACGTTTTCAATAAGCACTTTTTGGGGTTCACAATTTGAACATTATACCCCTATAAACTAAAGCGTGTGTGTCTACAATGACATCACAGCAACAGCGCCGTCAGTTGTAAGGAAAAGCATGGCACATTTTAAATGTTAAAAAAAGTGCACTTTTCAAAAAAGAATATTAACCAAAAAGGGATGTCACATAGTTTCCATACATTTCATAGGAATAGACATTTGCACAAAAATGTTCCAGAGTAAAAAGTCATGTCATGAACCCTGTAAAGCCTGATCTAAGACTAAGAGACATTTTTTTCTGCGGATGTCTACTGCAACTGTAAAATGGCCGAGTTCTTGACAGACCGTAAACAGACTTCTGCGCTAAACACACCACCTTGTTTTTGTCACTATCATTTTATTACTTGACGATTCTTCTTGAAATTCAACAGACCTGTTTTATATACCACGGTCAATCACTAAATGAAATTTGAATTAAATACAAGAGGTACTTCTTGGGTTATCGTCCGAAAAACGAGTGTGTTGTTTTCGTCCAATTCAAGTAGACTTCAGTTAAGGAAGGTTGACAAAAAAATCATAACGGTGGTGACCACTATTTGTGTAGTGCGCCCTCTTTTAAAAGAAAATTAAAGTTGACTTTATAGCTTAGGCAGGGGCTTTCACTGGACGTAATTTCAAGTTAACACGCTCAGCGTGCACGTCGTGTGTCACGCCTTCATCATACACTGCACACACAGGCCAAGTTCGCGCAAGGACTATAGTTGACCAATGGTTAACTAACGTTTGCCCGAACTCTGTCTAGTCGACGATGGTTGACTACGCTAGTCGACTATTTGCAACCAGCCTACTGGGGTTGGTTGCTTCGCTGGTAATCAATAGCCGCGCGCGTTTATAACGTTAGCAGAGAGCCAGGATCCAGACGTTTTGCGATGACATTTTGACCAGCGATTGACTAGAGACGTTCGCACGTTGCCATCAATGCGCAGGCGTAAGGTACGTCACAAATCAACCACTAGTCGACTAATGGTCCTTGCCCGAACTTGGCCACAACTGCATCGTGTGCACGATCTACTAACCAACTAACCAACTATCCAACAGAAAGACACGACAATTTCTTTTGCTAAATCGTTGACCCTCACTGTAAAGCAGGACAAGTCACTTGATTGGCGTCTACACCAGAATGCTGCGAGTGGCGCTGGATGTCTCCTAGTGAGACCGCATCCATTACTAACACATTGTCGTAAAAGTTGGTATCCGAAAATGTCTATGCAAAACCCCCTACACCCGGGGGGTTTGAGTGGAAAATATCAGACGGTTATTTATTACTCCCCATCACGTTCAATTAACTTCGGCAGCGACCGCAAGCCCCATTTGAAAAAAAAGTTAAGATCAAGGTACCAAATTTTACGACAACGTGGTGGTAATGTCAGCAATATCGATCTATGTGGAGGCCTTCCACACATCTCAGACAACATCAGGGAGATGAAGGATGGCTCTGGCAGGACATTGCGTCCGCCACCCGGAGCTAGCGGCCCATGACACCATCCTGTGGGAGCCTAGCTGAGGAACTGCGGAGGGGGGCGTAGGCGAGCCACGCTGCGGTGGGACGTTGGTCTCAGTGATACGGGGGAGCTAAGGACCCTCATGCTGGTTAAGAGTGGAGGGCGGCGACCAAGTCCCAAGATGCTGAAGGTTAGTGTCGTGAAAACAGTCTTCACGGTCGTGACCGCCATTTGTGTAGCGCGCCCTCTTTTAAAAAAAATTTTTTTTAATCCCCCAAAAAGATTTTTTTTTTCACACTAAACATGCACCTTGTTTTTGTTATTATTAGTTTATTATTTGACGATTCTTCTTGAAATTCAACAGCCTTGTATTATATATCACGGCCAAAGCACTGGACAATACTTCAAATCGTTACAATGTGTATTTTTTGAGTTATCGTCTGGAAGACGAGTGTAGGTGTTGCTTTTGATGCATGAAAGTTGACATTCATTCGGATAGTAATTTTCGCGCTAAACATACCATTATTTTTTTGTCATTATCAATTATATTATTCCGTGATTCCTCTTTAAATTCAAGACTCTAGTGTCAAATATCACAGATAATCACTAGACGAAATTTCAAGTCATTACAACAGGTATTTCTTGAGTTATCGTCCAGAATACGAGTGTGTTGCTTATGTTACATGAAAGTTTACTTAATCAGTTATGTTGGTTTTCTCCGTATTGACAACAATTTA